AGAGAGAGAGAGAGCGTTGTAAATGGTGAGCAGCGGGGTGTTTCAGAGTGGTTTCAGACCTCTTTTTGTCCGTAGGCTACCTCAGCTTTGGAGAAAAAACAGGAAAGAACGGGAAAAGAAAGAAGAGAAGGGAGAAAGAGACAGAGAGAAAGAAAAAGTCTTGAGACGGTGAGCAGGAAGATGTGTCGAACTGGTTTCAGACCTCTTTTGGGGCCGGTTATGGGGCTACCTAGTTCTTAAGACATCCAAAAGAAGGGGCTCAAAACAGATTGTACTTGAAACACATGCGGTCCGGAAAGACGTGCAACGGTCCGGAAAAGCAAGCCCCCAAAACGTACTCTAATCGTAGCGATTGCGGTCCGGAAAGGCATGCAGCGGTCCGGAAAAGCGAGCACCCAAAACGCACTCTAATTGTAGACATTGCGGTCCGGAAAGATGAGCAGCGGTCCGGAAAAGCAAGCACTCAAAACGTACTCTAATTGTAGACATTGCGGCCCGGAAAGACATGCAGCGGTCCGGAAAAGCAAGCACCCAAAACGTACTCTAATTGTAGCCATTGTGGTCCGGAAAGACCTGCAGCGGTCCGGACAAGCAAGCACCCAAAAAGTACTCTAATTGTAGATATTGCGGTCCGGAAAGACGTGCAGCGGTCCGGAAAAGCAAGCACCCAAAACGTACTCTGAAACCACCCGCTGCTCACCATTTACAACGCTCTCTCTCTCCTCTCCCTCTTCCTCTCTCTGTCTCTCTGTCTCTCTCTCTCTCTCTCTCTCTCTCTTTCTCTACCTTTTCTCTTTCTTTTTTCATCTCCCAAAGCTGGGGGTACCCAAAAAATCAAGCCCAAAAGAGGTCTGAAACCACTCTGAAACACCTTCCTGCTCACCATCTCCGGGCTGCTGCTGCATGTCTTCCGGACCGCGTTGGCTGCTTTATCTCTATCTATCTATCTATCTATCTGTCTGCTCTTTAAATGTATTTCCTTGTATGTTGTGTTCAAGTCTTTTCTGTCTGTAAATTGTTCTTTTCATCAAGGTCAGCTAGACCCCCCGAAGGGGTCTGAAACCACTCTGAAACCGCTCTGAAACCACAGAAGTTCAACACGTGCAGAGCTACTTCCCAGTACTACTTCCCAGTATTACTGTGTACTACAAAGCTTGCACAAACCACTTCCCAGTACTACTGTGTACTACAAAGCTTGCACAAAGCACTTCCCAGTACTACTGTGTACTACAAAGCTTGCACAAAGCACTTCCCAGTACTCCTGTGTACTACAAAGCTTGCACAAAGCACTTCCCAGTACTACTTTGTACTACAAAGCTTGCACAAACCACTTCCCAGTACTACTGTGTACTACAAAGCTTGCACAAACTACTTCCCAGTACTACTTTGCACTACATGGCTTGCACAAACTACTTCCCAGTACTACTGTGTACTACAAAGCTTGCACAAACTACTTCCCAGTACTACTTTGCACTACATGGCTTGCACAAACTACTTCCCAGTACTACTTTGTACTACAAAGCTTGCACAAACTACTTCCCAGTACTACTGTGTACTACAAAGCTTGCACAAACTACTTCCCAGTACGAAATACTAAGTGAATACTAAATATTTAACATTCGAAAACAAGTACGAGAATAATGATGAAAAACAACTGAAATGATGAAAGTGATCCGGGCGTGTGGTCGCGCAAGAAACGCGCAAGGTTGGCGCAAGCTCGGCCCAAGAGGCCTTTGTGGGAACAGTAATTTAGGACAACCCCCATATATATATATACATATGGGATATGATATGATATAATCCCCTAGCATTTAAAGATTGAAAAACCTCCAGTTTTTCCCAGAGGTTGCATCACCATGGATCAGCTTTGTGTAGCTCTCAGCTCCTGAGGTCTGCGGCAACAGTTGTTGGAATCGCTCCTGAAGCGTCTCGTCCAGGGTATCCCTCCAGGAGAACGAAACTTCCTGGTGATAGGCAGGAGATATACTGGAGATATACTGGAGGATTTTTTCATGGTGACATAAATCTCCCTTATATCACCATGAAATGCGATTTTTTAGTTGAGTATCACCATGGTGATATACTCTGCATTTCACGGTGATATAAGGGAAACTGTTCATGGTGATTGATACTTCTTGATGATTGAATCATACTGTGGATGGTTGCGAAATCCGAAGCACCAGTCAGGGCAACTATTGGTACACTGTAAATGTCATGGGATTATTATAATGGGATGTTTAGCATCTATCAACTGGTGCAGAATTTCTTCAAATCACAGTAGCTAGATGATTCACCAAACTCAAACATGTTAAATTACCAGAGCCAGTTGTTTGAGCAGTTTCATGTGGTGTCATAATCTAAAGAGTTTATCGACACCTAAAGCATGAGGGTTGGCCATAATTTGTGGTAATTATCTACTATTTTTTTTGGCTGTGTGTGTGTAAGAGTAGCCAAAACGAACAAGGGTGGACTTTGATCAGATGAACATGGAACTGAAGAAAGGTAGCATACACGCTATGTCACTTGGTGCCAGAAAGGCCCTTAAATTTATAAAATGATTGGTAAAAGCCTAACAGCAAAAAAAGAACCCCATATATCAGTTTCTAGTAGACCGTGCCTTCAATTAAAGATACATGTTTTCAACTTTTAACATATCAATTTCCACCTTCAAATTGCCATGAAACATGGATGCTCATCCCAGAAGAACTTTCCTGTCGTTTTCCGTCACTGGAATGATGGCAAGTAATATCTACAATCACCTATAATGGGATAACTACCTTAATGATGCTTAATGGTGAAGTACTGATCTTTATCAAGATCCCATAATATGTTTATTAAAAAACATGAAATCCCAATTCCTAATGGTTAAATACTCTTGTCTTATGACTTACTGGTGCCAAACGTAGGGAATGGATGGGTTGTTGGGGGTTGCTGGGATGATGAAATTACTAGCGATGAAATGGATCATTCCCGAAAATTCCCTACGTAAAACGCACCAGTAAGATGATTACAGGTTGGGTTCCCCCAGTTATAAGTTGGTTTATAAACCCATCTAAATATAGTTATAAGTATCATACACTATTGTTATTATAGTTATTTGCACCAACTTAGCGAACGAACTGGGGCCCCATCCTGTATCCCACATGAAATCCCAACGATCTCAGGCAGGAGGTGGGTTTTTTTGATACCACCAAGACCGGAGAGATCACCTCGCGTTTGACGCAGGATTGTCCCTGGGAAGAAAAACGCGTTTTTTTTTTCGCAGGGCGAAAAAAGCGGGGGAACTTCACCATGGATGTTTTGAGGTGTTGAATTTCCAAGGAAAATTCTATGATGCAAACAGGATGGGGGATCCCCCAGTGATGTGAATGTTGAACTGAATGTTGCTTAAAAAAATGCCCTGTGCAGTTAACTATAGTTATTTTTGTACCATAAACCATGGTGAAATTGGAGTTATAAATGCAGCAACTTGGCGATCGTAAACGGGGGGCCCCACATTGTATGAAACTTTGGATGTTGGAACTTCACCAAGAATTTCCGAGGAATATATGGTATGGTGGCAAACCGGTGGCAAATGGAAAACTTGTTAAGGTGGTTTGGAACCATTCCGAATGGATTATGACTTTCCAATCAAATTGGGGTCATGTCATCATCCCAACTGGTCCGAACTCCATGATTTTTCAGAGGGGTAGGGCTCAACCACCAACCAGAAAATGATGTTGCGAACTATGGGGATGTAACCTATACTTTCTGGCGCAAGAAATATGGATGTAAGGCCAGTCTGACAATGGATGACAAAAATCGGGCCGTTTAGGCAACAGGGATAAAAGCGACCATTCGCCTCACTTGAAATGCACCATTCTCAATGATTTTCCCAGCCATAAATCTCCATTCCAACATATAAATCAGTAGGGGGTGTCAACCGTTGCTACGGTTGATTACCAGACGATTGGTTATTGAAATCCTGGAATGCTTGCCTGTTATATGGGCGAAGACCACTGATCAGATATTCAGCACGCTCAAAACATCTCAAAACATACAGTAAAGGGGTATTGACAATCACATGCTGACTTGATAAAGCATCTATGGATGTGAATGTTTGTAATGGAGGGTATTAGATTAATACGAGACTTGCCAGACTTGCTAGAGGACAGGCTGCGAAATCATGTTGCAGGGGATTCTATCTCCAGTTATGGCTGTTCTAGCCATGATTATAGCCACTGGTAACCACAACTGCACTAGGTACTCTCAACATATCCATTGAATGGTATCCATAGAGCTGATGCAGTTGAATCCATTCCACTTAGATTTGCTGTAGATGATTCTTGATCTTCCCAAAAGTAAACTTGAAAAACATGGGGAATTCATAGGGAATTTTGGTAGTTTCTTTGTTGGGGGCAGGGTGTCCTGAAGAAAATCTCACCACAATTTGGCAACATCCATTTTTGTGGATGTTGTTGAGGTCAGCGCGTTGCTGATCAAGTGTCCTTCAACGTGAATTTCTTCTCAAGAAGCTCCGCGTGGAAGTCGTGGAAATCAGTGAGAGTTCTGGGAAAACCAACCGGGCGAGTATGTTTGATAGCTCCTTGTTGCTATGAATGGGTACAGTAAGATATGTTCATATATGATTCATCATGGCGTACATAGAATGTGGAATTGTCAAACACATATTCATTCTATGAAAGGGGCAACAATGATACACACACACCCTCCAAATGAAACCCTGGTGTGACCCCATCTGAGGGGAGTTATTGTCAGAGCTTACGGATCCTGATGATGAGTCATTAAAAGAGGTTGGAGGCAAACGCAAAGTCCAATGTTGAAACTGAAGGGGACGGCTACAAATGACAATCTAAATCAATTTTCTATATATATATATATGTACATATATGTATGTACACAATAATACGCATACATATATGTATACCCAAATAGATCTCGTTAAACAACATGTGCCGATTCGGTCGATTTTTTTTCTCCGGAACCACTGTGGACAGATGCCGGGACCTCTTCGGTCCATGATGACAGAATTCAGGAACGGTTGTCGAATTGGTGGCAACATTATGCTTTATGATCCTCGGCATGATCCCTCTCAGTACGGAGACCTCAAAGGACTTGATGGTACAATGACTAATCTTGGGAAAGCTGTCATATATGGCCCTTGACTATCTTGTCTTCTTATGAATATCAGATTGCTGTTTTGGAATTGCGCCCATCAAACCTTCAATACTCCAGTGGCAGCAAAAAAGTCCAAAGTAACATCAGCAATGATTTTCATCAGCAATCAAGTCCGACTTATCCATGGAAGCGATGAATCCCTTCCCCAAAAAATCCTTCCCAGCACGCAAGTAGCGTCGTAGCCTCCGCGGAGGCTGTCCTACTCTGTGGAGTTGACCATGATTAGTTTCCTCACGGTCCCAGTGGTGGCCTATTTGTCCAAGCGTGTGGGACGGTACCATGGCAAGACCATGCTCCTGAAATGGGATTACCATGGCACTATGAAATGCTTACTTCAAATGATATCATGCATGTAGTCTGGTTTATATGTTGATATAAATCTACATATATATATATACAAATATACATACATTTAAATAAATAAATAAATAAATATATACATATACATATACATATACATATACACATACATATACATATACATATACATAAACATATACATATACATATACATATACATGTGAGACATATATATATATAGTATATATATAGTATATATATATATATATAAATAGTATATATGTATATATATATATATAGTAAATATATAGTGTGTATATATATATATATAGTATGTACATATACTATATATATATATATATATAGTATATATATATGATGTATGTATATATGATGTGTATATATATATATATGATGTGTATATATATATATGATGTATATATATATGATGTATATATATATATATGATGTATATATATATATATATGATATATATATATATATATGATATATATATATATATATTGTATAGATCTAAACCTGGTGCATTATTCTATCCCCTGACGGATTCAACATTTTCTCGTGGTTGCCTTCCCAACTTTTCTCGTGTGGCCTTGTTGATTTACCAACTTTTCTCGGGGAGATTTTCAGCATGCCATGGGTTTCCACCTGTGGCTGGGAGACTGGGAGAGGTGCTAAAAATCAAAGGTTATTATTATTAATGGTTATATATAATGGTTAATAATGGTTAGTAATGGTTAATCATGACCAAGGTTTACTAGTTGGTGGTTTGGAACCATGGAATTTTGACTGATTTTCCATTCAGTTGGGAATTTCATCATCCCAACTGGTCCGAACTTCATCATTTCTTCAGAGGGATAGGTCAACCACCAACCAGATAATGGTTACTATAACCTCCAGCTAGCCCATCGCTTACATCTCCAACACGTCAGCCATATCGGCGAATTCCATGTTGAATGAGATTAACAATAAACCCCGGTGATTTTATATATATCCTATATCCCATAATTAAATCCCGTTCTATATCTCCCCATGAGTTGGTGAAATTTCCCTTAATCCCCCTTGATTAACCATTATTGATGATGAGTACCAATGAGATAGATTAGATAGTATAGCCCCCCAACCAGCTAATTTCATTTTCTATCTAATTTCCATTATCTTATATTGTATATGGATGTGGGTCAAAATGGAAGACCTAGGGGACCACAGATATCTGTCTAGTTTAGTATTAACCATCCAATTATTGGGGTACCTAATTTTGACCCATACCCATATATATATATACTGTATATATATGTATCCCATGATTAAATCCCATGATCTCCCACCATATTTGCCGAGCCAGGTACATGCAGCAGCTTTCGGAGGCGACGCAGCAGAAATTGGCGGATGCCAACGCGGTGGCCGAGGCGGAAGAAGAAAGGGGGGGAAGTCACCTGAGAAAAGGATGGGAAAATGGGCTTGGAACTTAGTTGGAACTAAGTTGGAACTGTTTGAAGACATGAATTTTGACCAAGTTATGACAAACATCCCGTTCACGTTCGTGATATTCTCCATCAAGCCAACAGTTAACCAAGTGATACTGTGGATGGACACAATTCTGTAGCATTTGGTACCAACTGGCAGCCTATAAAACACTATAAACAATGGGATTATCATATCATCATGGTATCCTACCTATCTACCAAGTGGTGATTTTTCCTCACATCTTTGTCTGGGGTTCTTGTTTTTGGTTCTGCACTCCCGCCTGCCTCCTTCCGTCCGCCCGCCGCCTGCCACACACCTTGTCCACACACAACTTCTCCACACACAACTTGTCCCCACACAACTTGTCCACACACAACTTGTCCACACACAACTTGTCACCACACAACTTGTCCACACACAACTTGTCACCACACAACTCACACACAACTTGCTCACACACAACTTTCTCACACACAACTTGTCACCACACAACTTGCTCATACACAACTTGCTGATCACACACAACTTGTCACCACACAACTTACTCACACACACACAACTTGCTCACACACAACTTGCTCACACACAACTTACTCACAACTTGCACACACACACACAACTTGCTCACTTTGCGTGGCAGGCGTGGCACTTATGGCACTGTGCTGGCTCTGGTGGCGCGCTTGGTTCCCGTTTGGCGCCGTGGATGCCGCCGCTGTTTGCGTGGCAGGCATGGCACTTGGCGACATCGACCGTCACTTTGCGTGGCAGGATGGCACTTGGCGACATCGATCGTCACTTTGCGTGGCAGGCGTGGCACTTATGGCACTGGGCCGCCGCTGTTTGCGTGGCAGGCGTGGCACTTGGCGACATCGACCGTCACTCTGCGTGGCAGGTGTAGCACTTGGCGACATCGACCTCCACTTTGCATGGCCGGTGTGGCACTTATGGCACTGGACTGGCTCTGGTGGCACACAAAACTCTTCCACACAACTTTGTCACAGATTCATTTCACACACAACTTTGTCACACAAGCCTTTCACACACAACTTTGTCACACTCAACCCTTTCACGCACAACTTTGTCACACACAACTCTTTCACGCACAACTCTTTCACACACAACTTTGTCACATACATCTCTTTCACACGCAAACTTTTACACACAACTTTGTCACATACAACTCTTTCACACACAACACTGTCACACACAGCTCTTTCACCCAACCTGTCTTGCACCGTCTCCTTCCCTTCCTGCCTTTCCCATCTCATTTTCACATCTGCTTGGTGATCATTGGAAAAAGTTGATTTGTGGGGTTATCCGGTCCTTTAATTGTTCTATCCACAGTAGGTATGGTCATTGATCAGTGTTGTCCAGGAGGCACTATCTTCCATTGCCACAGTTCGCACCTTTGGTGGAGAAAGCTATGAGAAGAAACGCTACGAGGTTCGCTGTGCTTTCGGATCATCTTTCTGGGCGTTGTCCGATGAGGTAGAAAGAAAAACATAAAACATGACGGGTGGAAAGAGTCTCAGAAGCAAACTATTGAATTATTGGGTTTCAGGGATTTCTCTTATTTTTTACTTTTTTTTTGTCTGACCTATTATTTAGATAGAACAAAACTCAATCATGGGTTGGCCAACCCTGGTATTAGCCAATCTTTGAGAACCTGTTCATGTAGCGAAGGAGGTGCTGGGTGATGTAAGTAACAAAAACATAAGCTGTTTATATATTGTCAGATATGGATTTGTCTGAAAAAGTACTCCTAAAAAAACATGGTTCATCAGCAGTTTCCCCATTTAATTACAAAATTATATAGTATGCACCGTATACACGGTATCCATTTTTGGATACACCCTTGTTTTGCCAAGTTGTCAGGTCCCTGTCGGCTGTCTCGACAGGAGAACTTGCAAAAGTTCTACACTTTGGAAAGCCGTCGTGCAAAGGCGGGAGATGACAGGGAATCACCGTCCACCAACATGATCCAAGAAAATGTATCAAACCCAAGAATGAACCATCCCAATTTTGGTTCCAAACAGCGGCTGTTGAATAGTCATCTCCAAACTCCAGGTTTTCCGTTGAGTTTCCACACGCCGTTTAGCTGAACCAGCTGAGAAGTGGCGAGCCCCCGCCACAGGCTGGACACCACCAAGTTTGGTCGCAATGGACCCACATTGTTTGTCCTTTTCAGTATAAGAATCTGGTGGAGAAGTAGGCATAATGAGCCAGCTGCGATTCAAGAATAACCATGTTTCGGTACCTATGTCCCATAGTTGTGGAACTTGGCGTTTGCACGCGGAGGTCTACGTTGGCTACTTATTTGTGATCATGATGCTGCTTGGTCCGGCTTGTGGATGAGACTTCTTCAACAGTTTGTTGTCACAAGAATCAAGGACTCCACAGTGTATTGCGTGGCTTACAATGATTTGCACCCTCGAAAAATGTAAGATTTTGTCCTCCCTCCAACTAACTGGCGGTTGGAACGTCTATCTTCCTCAAAACGGCGATGACCATCGGAAACCATTGATATTCGGCAAAGATGGATATGGAAAACCCCTTATTTGTAGATCATGTTCCTGTGGAGTTCACCATGAATTGGTACCATTTCCTTTTTGTCAAAAAATACTGATACAAACTTATACAAACTCCATGTTTTTCCAGGTGTCTTTTCGCGGACCACTGGCTGCAGCTAAGGCTGCCGCACCTGTCCAACTGCCTGGTTTTGTTTCTTGGATCCCTGTGAAGTCATCACTGCTATGGCCCATGGGGGTTAAGGATCAGAAAATTGTGATTTTTCACGGGACAAATGTGGTACCTTCAACAAAAAACCATTCCCAATCTTGTAGAAATGGGCGAGCATTAACCATCCAATTCCTGGAGTTTGCTTTTGGTTTACCGCATTAAGCAAGAAAAATGGGATTCATAAACAACCAGTTTATGGGGAAATATGACGGGATATGTAAGTTACGTAACACTATGATTATCCTGGTGGCGACGGTTTGGAGCTGTGCTTGTATCATCTTGTATCATTTTGTATCCATCTTCCACATGAACAATGAAGAGCCAAAGAGCTACGAATTGAGGTGTTCCCAACCACATGATACTGGCAGCTATGGGATAAAGTTTACATTGATATTCATGTACAAATAGCATCATATATATATAGCATCATATACTCACTGTCTTCCGGTGGCATCAGCACAGACACGACGTAGACAGAGACACCCAAGACGACAATAATCTGATCATGAGCAACGTATACGTACTGGCTCTGGATCTGGATTTACATGGTTTAATCGTCAAAGCACATTAATACACTTCACTAGTGGGCATTCATGTACCCTCTGGTAAACTAACATAGCTATGGAAAAGCACCATGTTTAATGGGTAAATCCACAATAAATGGCCATTTTCAATAGCTATGTTAGTTTACCAGAGGATATCTCATTGTGAAAATCAGAGTGCCCATCGCACCGCAAGTTGATTATAGTTGATTTGAGCGCGTTGTCCACAGGACTGTGAAGTCGAAGTGACCAGGGTGCGGAATCGCGGATCGATTTATATCGATAGTGGATTCAACCCCGGTGACTTCCCAAGAATGTCAATAAGTCCTTGGAGAAACTCATCTCAATTGGCGTTGAATCCCGATCTTCGGAGCTTTGTCCTGCTGCAGGTTTCAGATTGGGCGCTTGTGTGTGCAGGGCTTGTCGGCGCCGGTTCTCTTGGCCTTTGTTTTCTATCTTCAAACTTTGACCCTTGCTGCGAAGGGGGGCTTCCGTGGTATTTTCAAGGATTCCTTGAAGTTCAAGATGAGATCTGCTTACTTTGCCTCATGAAACTGATTCTGGTAGCTGTTTTGTTGGTGATATGACCATCGACTGATCATGTCAGACCATCAGATGGCAGGCATCCTTGCAGTCAAATCATCTTGTTTTGTAGATCCTTGCAGATCCCCTACCCGGAAGGGAATCATACCAGCGTTGTTCATCATATATCATCCAAGTTCAGGATTGGTTCAAGGGAAAGTTTGAAAAAAAACTGATACCCTCCAGTAAATTAACATAGACCCTGCCAGATAGGGGTTGGAAGATTAGTTTCCATTAAAAATTGGTTATGTTCAGGGTCTATGTTTATTTACTAGAGGGTATGTGCCTTGTAGCTTCAAGGTTTTCTCAAGGTCGTCCCAGCTCAATGCAGTGATTCAGTCACCGCTCCAGGAATGGATGTTTCAATTCACTGGCGACTTGGCTTCACGTCATGGTGCCACGAGCAGAAAATAAGTCGCTACTGTTTGGAATGGTTGCCTGGTTGGTGGTTTGGAACATGAATTTTATGACTGTCCATATATTGGGAATAATAATCCCAACTGACGAACACATATTTTTCAGAGGGGTTGAAAGCACCAACCAGTTATTGTGGATCCCTCACATGTAAATTCATGTGAGCTTGGGGTTACTGCAGATGTTGAATGTTTTTGACTCGTAAAAGATGACAAACTCTACGACTCTGGAGCTAAACATTTACAATCCTGGCAGAATAGCACAGTCTCGATGGAAGCAAATATATTGGCATGTCATGGCTATGGCTATGTTCTGGGGCCCTACAAAGGCCTATCCGATCCTTTGTACCAGCGGATTGAATGTCACGCACATGGGGGGCCCACCCCAGTTACAAGTTGGTTTATACATGTTAACCACCATCTAACTACAGATGCATCTGCTATAAAGAAACCAAGTTAGTCCTCAGTGAACCCATTTGCAAACCAAGTTCGCCCATTGTTTTCCTCGCGCACCACGTGCCAGCTCTAGGCGGATATCTACACCAACATCACCCAAGCCTTAGGCGCCTTGGCCTTCAACTTATCATTGCCATGGGATGCAGAAAAAATGGGGGATTTAAAACCAAGCATGTTATGGGAATCTTAGGGGATAGAGATATATATAGATATGACATGATATTACAATATGTAATGTTCTTATTTCTTATATTTTTTGACATTACCCTGAGTGATGTTTCAGATATCATTCCTGGGCATGAGGTCAAATAAAGACCTGTTAGGCCTGTTAGGTCAGCATGGAGTTTAACGGCGCTGTGCCAAGTTTCGGACATTGAGAATTTTAGAGTCTAGGATATGGGTCGTGTAGTTACTAAACCATGAATCAGTTCAAAAATTCCTAACGAGCTAGCTACAATAGACCACTGGTACGCATTAGTGTATGGTTTATTCCCTTGCCAATCCCTTCAAGCAATTGAAATCCTTGCTGAATTTCAGGATGTTGGGTGAATTCTCGACATGCAACCAACGGTCCGAACTATCGACATAAAGACATACCTAGACCCTCCAAGTACACTGAAAAATTGCGTTCTCCAAAACTGTAGCACGTTTACCATTTCGTGGTGGCATTTGGAGGGTCTAGGCTAGGTATTTTTGAGCCAAATTTGTAGGAGAAGGATTAATTCAAATAAATTCCACTAATGTGGGTAAAACAATGTCATCAACCACCCATTTGGGAATGGTTAGCCTAGCACCTATTGAAATGGTGATTTTTTGGGGGATGGTCAACATGGCATTGTTTTACCCACATGAATTCAAGTTTTCGTGGATCCAACCCGCCCGACATGCGAAAAGTTCTGTCTCCAGGTTCGGCTTCGCGGGTCTTTGAGCTGGTCCACCGGAAGCCAAGGTGCTGGAAATGGCGGAAATCCCTGGTGAATGCTGTGAAAACATAGGTTTTTCCATTACTGGTACATCCTGAGGACATGTTACGCGTATTGCAATGGTGTATATTATATATATATGTATGTATGTATATATATATATACATGTATATATATATGTGTATATATAATTATACATATACATATTATTTATATATATATTATATATATATATATATCCATCCACAGTTGGATACTTGAAATAGACCTTTTTTTCAAACTGGAGCGCCCCGTGGCCCTGTCCTCTGGTAGTTCACCAATTCACCAATTCATTGTGTTTCTTTTTAAACCTGAAACAACCAGCAGGTTGGATGTTGAAGAATTAAGCAGCAAAATAACCAGCCGTACCTTCAGCTGGTTTACCAGCCCAAAATTGGGTTCTTGACCTCTATTTATGGATTAAACAACTCATTGGGCTCATTGTGCTATTACTTTTAGTTCTCAGTTACTTTCATGGATGAATTCATCAGTTATTCATGGATGAATCACTCAGCTTTTAGCACTGAGCTGTTCTATAGCCTCAAGCGGGGTGATCCCATGTGACCCCTAGATATCGGAGAAACCCGCTGGATAGTGTACATGGAAGATCCCATGAAACAATTGATGATAACTAGGGATACCCATGACTTAGGAAACCTCTAAATTGGCTATGATAGGCCATAAGCGAAATCCTATGAAGTACCCTTGGGTAATTGAACAGTTAACTCGTAGCCATGGACTATTTTTCGTTGATTTACCTACAAAACATGAGCATTTTGCCATGTTAAATGACCTCTCGGGTATCTCCCAAGCTTCTCTCAGGCAGTTGCTGGTGCCAGTAACACCGGTGCCCAGTCCTGATGTGAGAGGGCATTTGGAGCTGAAAAACGTGGACTTCAGTGACTTGGTAGATGTGGCTGCCATGTAGCCCCGAAATTTGAAGAGCAAAATCCTACTCAGATATAGTGTTTAAGATAGTGTTAGTTCCTACTTATAGTGTTGTGGTAAGATTATGTTCTTGGACGCACCTGGATGATGTTTCCACCTGAAGTGGAAAGAGTCAGCATCACACGCAGGGACTTTTACTATGTTTTACCAGCAAAGGTGTTGAAGTTGGGAATGTCATCCGTTAACAACCCTTCAGATATGGATTTGTCTCAAAATAGGCTATCCGAACATCATCATTTTCCCTATTAAATGGTTGTTTGGGAGGTATACTCATTTTCAGACACACCAATATTGGTTAACCCTAATTTGGGACATATCAACTACCCTCCGGTAATCAAACATAGCAACGTGACATTCCCTCTAAATGTGAGATATTCCATCGCCATGCTTCACTACCGGAGTGTAACCAAAACAGAGATTCTAATTAGCAGATGGTGCGGAGAAGAGGAAGAGCGGGCAGTGCACTCTGCATGGCTTGTGTTGATCGAAGAATTTAATCGTTTGGTGATTTGACAAGTAGTCATGAATTTTGGTGCAGTCTGCATGGCTTTGTTGCATCGAATTTCGGTACACCAACCTTGAGTGCTTTACGAATAGTCATGACAAGCATATGAAAGTGATCCAACTCTCTAAATTGCCAGCAAATGCAAGACTTGGTGAGTAGGGTCTAATCGCATCCACAACTCCCCATCTCCAAACAATGGCATAGCCGCATAGCCAATGTGCACTAGGTTATCCCGCACATCCGGAAAAACGAGTGCTGCAGAACTTGAGCAACTTGACCAAAATGTCCTGTCCACAACGAGCAGTAGATCCCGGAACAAAATGGGGCAGTTTATAGCTGAGAAAAATATCGAACTATTTATAGCTGGTGAATTCATCCCGAAAAGGTTCATCCCCAACTACCAGTAGAGTAGAGGCAGAAGGTTGGTGTCATTTTACTCATCTTGGGCAATAGGAGTTGAGTTGTGTGTGTTTTTTTGCATCTTTCTGGTGGCTGCTAAATCGGTAGATGTTTGGACAACCTGACCGATTGACAGTGAACATATGTGAGCCATCAAATATTCTGAAGGATGTTGGACCATGATGTTGGATAGGGTTGGATAGATGTTAACAAAGCGGAAAGTCTCATGCTTCCCTGGGAGTTCTGCAAGTGCATAGATAAGAAAGGAGTTCATTGGTGACATATCTTTTCTTGGTGTTGATTATATGCATTTATTATCACTGTTCAATATCTATGTATGATATATGTCTACGTATATATATATATATATATATATATGTATCAATATATATTTATATATATGTATCAATATATGATATCGGAAATTTCACGTTTCTTAAGAAATCTCAAAAATGTAAAATAGAATGGGCTAGCGCCCAGGTGCCGCCGACCCCCCTAATTGGAGGGGGGGTACTGTAGAGAGAGAGAGGGAGACGGACAGCAAGACAGACATATGGCCGTTTGCTTCTCAAGCCTGTTGGGTGTTGGGGTACCTTTTCCCTGCGGAGCTGGGCGGACTTTTGGAGGGTTTAGAAGGTTTGGAGGGTTTGCCATTGCGCAGGGAAAAGGTACCCCAACAAGCCCAACACGCGCCACTCCCGCAGGCAAAAGCCACCACAAGGCCACAGCAATGGCTCAAGGGCACCCCCCGGCCGCAGCAATGGCTTCTTATAGGTGTTCAAGGCTGCCGTTTGCCAGGCCTCAAACCCTCCAAACCCTCCAAACCCTCCAAACCCTCCAAAAGTCCGCCCAGCTCCGCAGGGAAAAGGTACCCCAACAAGCCCAACACGCGCCACTCCCGCACGCAAAAGCCACCACAAGGCCACAGCAATGGCTGAAGGGCACCCCCCGGCCGCAGCAATGGCTTCTTATAGGCGTTAAACCCTCCAAACCTTCCAACTCCTCCAAAAGTCCGCCCAACTCCGATGCAAAAGGTACCCCAACAGGCGCCACGCCCGCACGCAAAAGCGACGACAAGGCCACAGGCTTAGAAGCAAACGGCCATATGTCTGTCTTGCTGTCCGTCTCCCTCTCTCTCTCTACAGTACCCCCCCTCCAATTAGGGGGGTCGGCGGCACCTGGGCGCTAGCCCATTCTATAAGAAGCCATTGCTGCGGCCGTGGGGTGCCCTTGAGCCTTGTTGGTGCGGGAGTGGCGCGTGTTGGGCTTGTTGGGGTACCTTTTCCCTGCGGAGCTGGCCGGACTTTTGGAGGGTTTGGAGGGTTTTGGAGCGTTTGAGGCCTGGCAAACGGCAGCCTTGAACGCGTATAAGAAGCCATTGCTGCGGCCGTGGGGTGCCCTTGAGCCATTGCTGTGGCCTTGTGGTGGCTTTTGCGTGCGAGAGTGGCGCGCTTGTTGGATGTGGGAGGGTTGGAGGGTTTGGAGGGTTTGAGGCCTGGCAAACGGCAGCCTTGAACGCCTATAAGAAGCCATTGCTGCGGCCGTGGGGTGCTCTTGAGCCATTGCTGTGGCCTTGTGGTGGCTTTTGCGTGCGGAGTGGCGCGTGTTGGGCTTGTTGGGGTACCTTTTCCCTGCGGAGCTGGCCGGACTTTTGGAGGGTTTGGAGGGTTTTGGAGGGTATGGAGGAGTTTGAGGCCTGGCAAACGGCAGCCTTGAACGCGTATAAAAGAAGCCATTGCTGCGGGCGTGGGGTGCTCTTGCTCTTGAGCCATTGCTGTGGCCTTGTGGTGGCTTTTGCGTGCGAGAGTGGCGCATGTTGGGCGGGGGGTTTGGAGGGTTTGAGGCCTGGCAAACGGCAGCGTTGAACGCCTATAAGAAGCCAGTGCTGCGGCCGTGGGGTGCTCTTGAGCCATTGCTGTGGCCTTGTGGTGGCTTTTCCATTGCTGTGGCCTTGTGGTGGCTTTTGCGTGCGGGAGTGGCGCGTGTTGGGCTTGTTGGGGTACCTTTTCCCTGCGGAGCTGGCCGGACTTTTGGAGGGTTTTGGAGGGTTTTGGAGCGTTTGAGGCCTGGCAAACGGCAGCCTTGAACGCGTATAAGAAGCCATTGCGGCCGTGGGGTGCCCTTGAGCCATTGCTGTGGCCTTGTGGTGGCTTTTGCGTGCGGCAGTGGCGCGTGTTGGGCTTGTTGGGGTACCTTTTCCCTGCGGAGCTGGCCGGACTTTTGGAGGGTTTGGAGGGTTTTGGAGGGTTTTGGAGGGTTTTGGAGCGTTTGAGGCCTGGCAAACGGCAGCCTTGAATGCGTATAAGAAGCCATTGCTGCGGCCGTGGGGTGCTCTTGAGCCATTGCTGTGGCCTTGTGGTGGCTTTTGCGTGCGGGAGTGGCGTGTGTTGGGCTTGTTGGGGTACCTTTTCCTTGCGGAGCTGGCCGGACTTTTGGAGGGTTTGGAGGGCGGACTTTTGGAGGGTTTGGAGGGTTTTGGAGGGTTTTGGAGCGTTTGAGGCCTGGCAAACGGCAGCCTTGAACGCGTATAAGAAGCCATTGCTGCGGCCGTGGGGTGCTCTTGAGCCATTGCTGTGGCCTTGTGGTGGCTTTTGCGTGCGAGAGTGGCGCGTGTTGGGCTTGTTGGGGTACCTGTTCCCTGCGGAGCTGACCGGACTTTTGGAGGGTTTGGAGGGGTTTGGAGGGTTTTGGAGCGTTTGAGGCCTGGCAAACGGCAGCCTTGAACGCGTATAAGAAGCCATTGCTGCGGCCGTGGGGTGCTCTTGAGCCATTGCTGTGGCCTTGTGGTGGCTTTTGCGTGCAGGAGTGGCGCGTGTTTGGGCTTGTTGGGGTACCTTTTCCTTGCGGAGCTGGCCGGACTTTTGGAGGGTTTGGAGGGTTTTGGAGGGTTTTGGAGCGTTTGAGGCCTGGCAAACGGCAGCCTTGAACGCGTATAAGAAGCCATTGCTGCGGCCGTGGGGTGCCCTTGAGCCATTGCTGTGGCCTTGTGGTGGCTTTTGTGTGCGGGAGTGGCGCGTGTTGGGCTTGTTGGTACCTTAACGAGAGAGGGCTATGTGCGCGGAAAAGTTCCACACCTGCGGTGGCCCCAGGCGCCGCCCCGGCCTTGGCGAAGGCCGGGGTCGGCGGATATTTCCCTTGTATATTTCCGCTAACAAGAGTGTTGCTTTGGGAACTGTATCCGTGAAGTCCTTAAGCGAAAGCATTAGGACACGGCCCGCACGGCCGCAACGGTATTACGAGGTGTGGACTGGCAGACCAGTCGTGCTCCTATAGATGCATTGTCTCCTATCAGAGCCAGGCCTTCACAGACTTCTCTCTGCAACTCGGTGAGATGGGACTGTATGGGCAACAAGGATCCTTGATGTATTTGAAGATTTTGAAGAGAGTATTTGTGATGTATTCGTGGCTTCTGGCAGGGCTTTTTGTGTACATAGATTACATAGTGTTGGCGTCCCAGCTTCGTAAAAACGCTACACATGGAGTTTATCTTTACTGCTCAACTACTTCAGTCTTGGAAAGCTGCCAAACTCATCCAATTCCCCTGTCCCAACGGGAGCTGACAAGTTTACCCTTGAAATTTGCCCATGATGGAGGTCTCTTCAGAACCAAATTTGATCAAATTTGGTGTGCCATGAGGTGCGCCTTGCAGAAGCAGAATCTGCTCAACTCGCAGATCGAGCGCCTTCCAACTCCACGAGCCAAGCCCATGGAGACCTTTCGAGGTCGATCTGATGAACAGTGCGGCAGCTGATGATAGGACTGTTTTCTTCCAGCTTGATGATCGAACATCTAACCTGGAAAAGGATGGAAAGGCAGACTCCTACTATATACATGACAAATATATATAATATAATATATGATATACTATAATAAAAATAATTTATAATATAATATATGATATGATATAATATAATATAATATAACATAACATATATAATATATTTTTTAATAATATATGATATAATATAATATAATATAACATATAATATAATATAATATAGTATAGTATAGTATAGTATAATATAATATAATATAATATGATATAAAATATAATACAATATAATGTATGATATAATATAATATAATATAATATATCATATAATATAATATATTGGAATATAATATAATATGATATGAAATAATATAATATAATATAATATAGTATAATATAATATAATATATTATAATGTAAATATAATATAATATAATATACTATAATATAATATAATATAATATAATATAAATATAATATAATATAATATAATATAATATTTTATATTATATTATATCATATATTATATTGTATTATATATTATATCATATCATATATTATATTATATTATATTATATTATATTTTGTTATATTATATTATATTATATTATATTTTGTTATATTATATATTATATATATATTACAATGTGTATATATATATATTAAATATATAATATCAACATACATATATATATATATCAACTAGCCTCTTCAAAGAATGGTGAACATGTTGATCAGTGGCACCGCAGGTGAATCTATGACCCATGAGACCGCGGAGAACATTTTGGTGGGCCACTTTGAGCCCAACGACCATCCCCACAGTTGGCTTGTCGCGGCAGGATCGAACCCTGCCTATGAGCAGTTTGCGCTACAGTGCCCCCGTGATGTGGTGCATGTGGCAGGGATGCTATACGAGATATGATGCTTACAAATGCCTACAACACTTGGGAATGGATGGTGGTTGTTCTGCAGAGTACTTGCACGAAGAAAGCTAATCCTTCAAATTTTTGCGCTGATGCAACAGGTTTGTATTCATCCACAGTTCTTGTCGTCTTTGTTCATCCGCTTCCTCTTGCATACTGTTTCCAGTATTTGCTATTGGGAGGTACCAGCTGTGGTACAAGGGCTCCGGAAGGAACACGTTTTGGCCCACGACTTAGTTTGACCTTTTTGCTTCCTGGCCAGCCACTACAACGGAGCCAGACATCACGAACTTTGTCCCACGTGCTGGTCGGAAACATGTCCCTCTGGATCATCATCAAAGGGCAATGCTGGCAATGCAGAGAGAGTTTGCGCGCACACTTTTTGCCAAGACAGTCAGCTGGAGCTGGGTAGTTTTGGCATGTTTCGGTCTGCTTGAGGTACCATCCAACCTTCCTGGTGGAGGCCCCGTGAGTTTTTGGATATTTTTGAGTGGCTCACCGTGACATAGCGAGCCCGCAGGCCCTGGATGGTGCTAAGATTTGGCGAACTCGTGACTACCGGGTAAGGCGAAGGGAAACGCCATCAGCTCAGACCAGTGGCATTAAGCTAAAGGCAAAATAGGCAACATTAATTGACATAAATGAAATAAGATAAGCAAAGTGAAGTTGCTGATTGAAAAATATGAAGCAGACTCTCCCTTTTGTGGCGTGCTATTTCCGTTCCTCTGTCACTGGACTAATCTGTACATGCCATTGGGTCCATTGGCATCCATAGGCCAAGTTGCCAAGGCCTGGCATGTGGGACTTCTCGGTGGTGGACAATGGCATTATCTCAGAGGACGGTAACATCGGTAGCGATATTAGCAGTATGTTTGATTGAAGTCCATCAGGATCTGTGTTCGTACGCACGTTAGCATGTTATGTATGTTGTTGACGTGACTGGCATGAAATTATTGTTGTTATCAGGTTACCGGTATAATGATAATGATAAAACCAACAATAATTTTCATCATGATCATAATGACCATCATCACCATCATCACCATCACCATCACCATCACCATCACCATCACCATCATCATCATCGCCGTCGTCGTCGTCGTCGTCGTCATCGTCATCGTCATCGTCATGATCATCATCATGATCATCATCATGATCGTCATCATGATCGTCATCATGATCGTCATCATGATCGTCATCATGATCGTCATCATGATCGTTACAATTATATACAATTATAATCGTCATGATTCATGATCATCATTGTTGTCACACACACATATATATATTGTCATCATGCATGAAGCACGCATATACTGTACGGACTTGTACATATCAGACTTCCATAGATTGTCAATGTATGTGTAAATAGGGATGTACATAAATGTAATTATGATAAAGGCACACATAAATACAATATAATATAATATAATATAATGTAACATAATATAACATAATATAACATAACATAATATAATATAATATAATACAATATAATATAATACAATATAACATAATATAACATAATATAGCATAACATAACATAATATAGCATAACATAACATAACATAATATAATACAATATAATATAACATAACATAACATAATATAACATAATATAACACATTATAACATAGCATAACATAACATAATATAATATAATATAATACAATATAATATAGCTTAATATAACATAAGATAATATAATATAATATAATTTAGTATAATATAATATAAAATAATATAGCATAATATAACATAACATAACATAATATAATATAATGTAATGTCATGTAATGTAATGTAATATAATATAACATAACATAATATAACATAATATAACATAACATAATATAATATAATATAACATAATATAACATAATATAACATAACATAACATAATATAATATAATATAATATAGTATAATATAATATAACATAATATAACAGATTATAACATAACATAACATAACATAATATAATATAATATAATATAGTATAATGTAATGTAATGTAATATAATATAATATAGTATAATATAACATAATTTAATATAATGTAATGTAATACAATATAATTTAATATAACATAATATAATATAATATAATGTAATGTAATATAATATAACATAATATAATACAATATAATATGATATATAATGTATACATACACATCATGTTGGCCAGGCATTGTAGACAGAGAGTTGAGCCTCCTTCTTCCTCTTACCGTTCCACAGGAGCGGTGGCATTTGCTGGGAGCGGATGACAACTTGGAATGGTGTGTGCTGTTCTATGTGCGGACCTTTGGAAGCTGTGGGAGATCCCCAGTGCCATTGGGTGGGGATTTGCTCCTGAGGTTGGTGTTGCGCGTAAAGCTGGCTTGTCATATCGCGGATGTAAGGATCTCAAATCCGAATTTGTGTTTTCTTTGAATTTGCTGAACTGGTATATAATTGATTCAGCATTTTGGAAAAGTGGTACCCTTGGATGCTGATAAGAGAAGGCAATGCATTTGTCTGAGGCTTGGTTTTGACCCCAGAGGGCCAAATGCCTGGTCCAGAACATGCAGAGGTGCCCACATTTGCCTTGAAAAGATTAGGACCCCCCAAACCCAGCAGGGCAAGCGGGACGTGTGGAAAGAGGTTTTTGAGGTTCAATTTGGCAGACATGTGTTCCTGACTTAGAAATCGCAGTAGAATGATCCTGTGGATCAGGCCATCACAGCTGCGATAGCCAGAGCGGATATGAAACCTTGGGAGTTGGAGGCCACCAGCAATCCACCAGCCGCCAGCTGAGTCAGTTGAGTCAGTTGAGCTGTCAGCCGATGTGGTGCAGCTGGCGCATGCTGGCGCCATGGGCCATGGGCGGTTTGAGGTGGATCCTGCCAATCCTCCACCACTCATAGCGCCTGAAACACAAGAGCCGGCTCCGCTGCTCCGTGTGTCCGCTGCAGCGTAAAGTTGGGGCATTCTCTGCAAGACATGCCCAGATGGGGATTGAGTCTGAAAAAAAAAATGTCCAAATGTTTTGCTTACACAACGCTTTGTGTGGTAGCAACTCTTGCTCAAGAACCCTTTTCTCTTCGTTTCCTGCGAAATGCTGGACACCTGCATCAGGGTCCACCTGTTAATGTTGTTGCAAGTCACTGCCCAAAGGACACATTGTCCATTCTAGGCTCAGGCATGACTGTCAATTTTCGACCGTGGCAATGGCGTGCGACCAAACGCCCTCTCTTCCGTGGGTTGCAGCCTGTCACTGGTCATCCAGTCTCAGATTTTCTGGGTGCCCAAACAGAGGCATTTGAACAGGCTCTAACAGAGCTCCATAGAAGAGCTCCCAGATGCCACGGCCGTGTTTGGCGATGCGCAGACAGGATATTTCAAAATAATGCTTCTAAAACTGCAAGCTGCGTGAGGTATGTGAGGTTGTCAGGATTTGAGATTGTCTTGCACAGGGCACAGATAGGATGGATGGAGTCATTTGACCACGACATTCTGTGGCCTTGTCTGAAAAGGTCGGATTGTGCGTTTTATTTGCTCAAGACTTTCAGCCAACTTCTAGTGTGCATGTTTGCTTACAACGTGTCCATCGTGCAGTGCAGCGAACTTGGAGGGATTCAGGACATCTAGGGATATCTAGGGGCCATTGCAATGTGAGCATCGCTTATTGTTACTGTTTTTTTTGGTGTGTGTGTGTGTGCAAACGACAAGGCTATTCTCAATCCAGAGCCATGCCAGAACTGGCTGCAGCTGTCTTTGAAGGGCATTTGCAGGTGCATATTCCTGTGGATTCCTGTGGTATCAAATCTCACAGCTGTTCAAAGACAGAACTTGCTGGTATTCTTGCAGGGCTGTTTATGTGCCTGGATCCAAGCAGACTGCGAGACCTGCTTTTTTCAAAGTTGGAAGGCGCCTGGCCTTGGAAAATGCGGCTTGTCCTATCGGTCTGGACCTTTGTTGCAAATTGTGGGTAGCGATGAGACTCGATTGATGTCCAGTGGAGTAACAAGCACAGACCACCATCCTTCACAGCCTTCACGGTTCAGTTCATGGTACTCTCAGGTTTGGCAATGCAATGGATCCTCCCATGCCTGCAGCAGTGAAAACACAGCGAAGACAATTGGGTTGGTCGACCAAGGAGCAGGAGTGGGTTTCATATGACAAAACGTGACATTTGCGTATGAAATGTCATGAAATGTCATGACATGTCATGAAATGTCATGAAATGTCATGACATGTCATGAAATGTCATGAAATGTCATGAAATGACATGAAATGTCATGAAATGTCATGAAATGTCATGAAATGTCATGAAATGTCATGAAATGACATGAAATGTCATGAAATGTCATGAAATGTCATAAAAGGTCATGAAATGACATGAAATGTCATGAAATGTCATGAAATGTCATGAAATGTCATGAAATGACATGAAATGTCATGAAATGTCATGAAATGTCATGAAATGTCATGAAATGTCATGAAATGCCATGAAATGCCATGAAATGTCATGAAATGTCATGAAATGTCATGAAATGTCATGAAATGTCATGAAATCATGAAATGTCATGAAATGTCATGAAATGTCATGAAATGTCATGAAATGTCATGAAATGTCATGAAATGTCATGAAATGTCATGAAATGTCATGAAATGTCATGAAATGAAATCCATGAAATGTCATGAAATGTCATGAAATGTCATGAAATGACATGAAATGTCATGAAATGTCATGAAATGTCATGAAATGTCATGAAATGTCATGAAATGCCATGAAATGCCATGAAATGTCATGAAATGTCATGAAATGTCATGAAATGACATGAAATGTCATGAAATGTCATGAAATGTCATGAAATGTCATGAAATGTCATGAAATGTCATGAAATGTCATGAAATGCATGAAATGCCATGAACTGTCACTAGTATACATTGCACCTTCTTCAACGGCTAATGGTTCCGCTGGTCCATCAACGTATCCCGCAGGAGATCAGTTGCTTTGGTGCCATCTGCAGCATCCCGGATCTGGGTCTGGAGTCTGAAGATGTGATCATCTCAGTGGATGCTGCAGGAGTCTTGACGCCATGGGGACAGAGCGACCTGGGCTGACAACGGAAGAGGTCAGCTTGTAGTCAGAATATAGATACTGTGTATGTATATATATATGTATATAAATAGCTGTAGCTGAAATGACAGCATCTGGCTTCTTTTTCAGTTGATAGATATGTATAAGAAATTACACCAATTTGTATTCTTTTGTGTTTTGCCTTTGGTGGCAATGTCTTGGGAGAAGAGCTCCCTTCTGAAATGAAACGCACCCTCATGAACTAATCCGGACATGGACGCTTCATCATTGTTTTCTTCTAGATCTGGAGCTTTGTGCTTCTGTGGTGTCTGCAAAAGACCGAGGATTGGATGGAAGCAGACAGATGCTGCTTCAGTCATTGGCCCGTCCAGATCTAGGCCTCACTGTCTTGCTCCTGGACAGCAATGGCCAGATCACAGGTGGAGATGAAAGCTGGACACCTGGCACGACGCCCATCATACGCGGCTTGACAAGACGAAACAGTTTTTTCCAGGTCTGCATGCAACCTACGAGGGATTTTTTCTGTGTTGGAGGTGTACAACAGGTATGCTGGCAAAATGATGTTTATTGTAGCAAGGGGACCACTCAGTTCTTCATTTTTTAAAATTTTTATATAAATCAGAAAAGATTTGAGTGTCGCCGAGTGTGGCCTTTACTGCCCGAGGTGCCAAGCGGTGCATCGACCCTCCGGCCCCGCCTCCGCGGCCGCCTCCCGGCCCAGCCTCGCCGCGGCGACGTGTGACCTCCAAATCTGTGCGGGTGCCGGAGCCCGATGCCGAACCCCCAGCGGATGAGGAAACAGCAACGGCGGCACCGGCAGCACCGGTTCCAAAAGAGGAACTGTTGGGATTTGGAGTGGTGGGTGGAAGTGATCTCCCAGATACAGAAGAGGTCAGTGCTTGCATGCCATTGCCAACCGGAGATGAAGCAACAGGTCGTGTTCTTCCAGGAGACCAGCCCCCACGTGCTACTCACGCGGGTGGCATCGGCCGCTCAGCCGGGACCAAGATGTCGAAGTCAAAAGTGCAGGCAGGGTACAAGAAGTCCGAATCCATGCGACCAGATGAAGCCACAGGAAAACCCGGAGCCAAACTCGAAGGAAGCATCATGAGCACAGGAACCAGCACAGGAACGACTGTGAATTCAGCAACCGCTGCGGCCGACCAAGAACGCCTAGTTTCGGCAGCCGTGGCTGGTGAGGTGGATGACGTCCAACAGCTTTTGGGACGCGCTGGAGTTCGCATTGATGGACTAGTTGAGGAAGGCTTGGATGGGGAAGAACTAAGGGCTGGAAAGGTGTGTCACTGACCTTGCTCCAGAAGTATTCATTGAAAAGAATCATCATTATTTTTTTTAAGAGTAGTGTTCGACACCACTTCCTGGCCCTGATGTGAGCTACAGAATGCCTTCGTTATCCTTTGCTATGCTGCCCCCAGGGCGCCATGCAAAGCTGACAGCTTTGATGGCAGCTTCAGCCCGTGGGCGTACGGAGGTGGTCCGGGTGCTACTGAGCAGGAGCCACAAGTCTTTTATTGTCATAGTGCGTTCAGTGCGTTCAGTGCGTTCCACTCTTTGTTTTTGGGTCTGGAAGGGTTTGGACACTGTGATTTCTAACTGGTTTCATCTGGTTTCCATACGTAGTTTCCATGACTTTATTCCTTTTGTTTGCTTATCAAAATCCTTTGCATTTCCCACCATTGCCTGGCACCAGGAAAGCTGGCATCGATGTCAGAGATGCCCAGGGCTGGACTGTTTCTGGGCTTCAGCCAGCTGAGATATTCCAGATTCATTGCCCACCGGTCCACCGAGGCTTTGATGCATGCAATTCATGGACAGAGGATCGACGTTTGCCAGCTGTTGTTGGATAACAAAGCAGAATTCCAGCACGTGCAGAGCTCAGGGAACGATTTTTATGGAAATTGCATGACATGTTTCATCATTTTTCTCGTCATGGGCGGATGAGTGAAAGTTTTAGATATCTATGATATTTATTGATATTTCAATATGATTAAACATGTACAATAATAATACGTATATTTTATCTCATTTCAAAGTTTTGGCTTTCAGCCATTCTTCTCTCGTTCAAATATGCACAGTGCACCTGCGAACGTAGGAACAGAAGTGAACACCCCGATGTACCCAGGTGGAAGGAGGATCTCCTCTAATCCTGGCAGCTTCAGGGGCTCGGTACGAATTCTGCAAAATGCTTGTAGAGAAGAAGGCCCGTCTCATGGGTATATCACTTCCTTCAGAGAAAGTTGTGTAACCTTCTCAGCATGCAGCCTTCCACAATCTTCCACATTTTGAGCATCAACATTCCCGCGCCAGGTTGCGCTGTCGGTACCGGATTCCGAAGGCTCTGATTGCAATGTTGCGGGGAATGAAGTCTACGTATTAATTGCGTTTAAATGGCATTAATAGGGGGGGAATGAACATTGAAGGGACGACATCTTGCACCTGTGGGAATATTGATCCACCAGTTTGTTTAGCTGTTTAGCTCATGTTTTAAAGTGGATGTGTCATACAATTGCTCACTTGAATCTTCAGGATGTACAGCTTTGCATCATGCGGCTCGCAGGCCAGGGGTGGCTGTTTGGCTGAAAGGAACCTGAAGCTGTCTAGACTGTACCACTGAAGTACTTGCCAATCACAGCTACTGAAGTACGAACAAGCAGAAGTTTGTCAACTCTTTGCAACATCTTGAGTGTACTCCTTTTCTGTCAAGCTCTGATTTTCTTGTGAGATGCACATGATAGTCAAGCAGCGTGCGGTGTGTTTTTTGTTTCGTCTTACCATGCTTCCGAAAAGTTGCTGTTCGATTTGCAGAAGCACAATGCACAAAGGAAGTTGTCATATAATCTTAGCTTCGGATTAATAAGGGCGGGGCGCACCCCCCCGCAATAATGTAAAGCTTCCCCGCAATTAATTTTTCCAGTTTCAGACCCCCATTTTGCACAGGACTGATTTCAGGATTTTTGTTCGCTGTATATATATATATTGTTTCAAGACTGATTTCAGGTTTTTTTTCTTCTATATATTGTTTCAGGACTGATCTCAGGATTTTTTTTCCCCCTATATATTGTTTCAGGACTGATCTCAGGCTTTTGTTCCCCCTATATTGTTTCAGGACTGATTTAAGGATTTTTTGTCCCTATATATTGTTTCAGGACTGATCTCAGGATTTTTTGTCCCTATATGTATATATAATATGTATATATATATATAGTTTCAGGACTGATCTTGGGTTTTTTCCCTTATTATATATTGTTTCAAAATTGATCTCCGGTCTTGTTTCCTTATATATTGTTTCAATGCCAGATACTAAAAGTAAAGGGGCGCAACTGAGATCTGAATACCAAAAAAAAATAGTCGGCCCGGAAAAAATATATTATTGTGGGGGGGGTTTCATGGCCAAAAACATGACCGAATACTAAAAGTAAAGGGGCGCAATTGAAAACAAATACAACAGAAAAATGAGGCTCAGCCCCAAAAAATTATATTATTGAGGGGTTTATATTAATCGGAAGCTAAGATTAGGTGGACCCTCTGGATTTTCATCCTATTTCTTACTCCTCCCAGAAAGATCAAGTGTCATGCTTTCCGAGGGGTCGTGGTGCAGCAGTAGCAACATTATTGGCTGCTCGTGCCAAGCTGGAAAAGCAAGATGCCCAAGGCAGGGTGTATCTTCAAGATCATCCAATATCTACAAAGATGTCTTGGAAGCCAAAACTACCTACAGTTTGTGAGATGCAAGCCCAGAATGATGAAAATTAGATATGAGTAATTGGAACACATGTCCATGTGACCCTGTCGACCCTGGTCCCAGTAGAACGAATACAGACTGATGACTGATGTCAGGCCACACCCCGCTGATTGCAGCTGCAGCAGCAGGACGCGCAGATACAGCAGCTGCAGCTGAAGATAGCAGGGGAGTGTTCAGACTTGTATCCTTCAGAGAATGAAACGAAACTTTGAGAATCAAGTCTGGGAACCTTCCAACAAGATCGAGAAAGGCTATGCGAGGTATGTCAAAACCAATGCAACGGTGCGCCAGCAACAAGGTCCAGTTGCTTCTGACGCATGGTGCTGATGCGAAGGCAGTCTATACCTTGCCACAGTTTCATTTAGGGGATGTTGGTCGCTGTGGTTTTGGCGGAAACAAGAATGAGGACGATGCTGATCCTGACGCTGATGACAACTGGTGATTCATGAGATTTCATCAAGACTCATACTCATACTTATATTCATATTCACATTCAATATTCAATATTCTCACTGATATTCATATTCATGTTCACGTTCACATTCGCATTCACATTGCTGATGATTATGATGTCCTTGACGATCATCACCGACGGGTTATGGATCTGGCCAGGCTTTGGATGCTTCAGGAAGAGGAGCTAGAGAGCTGGCCATTGCCTATCAACATGATCGGGTCGTCAAGGCACCGGCAAGGTCTATTTCAAAGAGACAATTTCTGATGAAATCTGCTGAGAACTCTGTTGAGAATTCTTTCCATTTCTTTACCAGGTACTGCAAAATCCTTATGCTCAAAAAGGAGCTTGAAGAAATTGTCGAATTTAAAATCAGATTCGACAAAAACAGAGAATGAATTTCAAAGACGTCTAATATCATTGTCCCAGAGGAATGTATATTTCATATTACCCTCTGGTAAACTAATATAACTATGGAAATCACCCTTTTTAGTAACCCATTTCAATAGCTATGTTAAATTACCAGATGGTATTTCAATTTATTTTATGCATGTTGCCATGAGGATTTGGCTCATTTACACATATTTACACCTTTTAAGCGAAGCTTAAGTACTTAATGTAATGTAATCGTTATATATCGTTATGTAATGTACTGGAATGTAGTGTAGTGTCGTGTAGTGGCGTGCCGTGACATCGTATACCATATAATATATATAATAAAATATAATATAATAGAATACATTAGAATAATCTAATATATAATACCAGTAGTACCCGCACGAGGCGGGGCGGAAGTTGCCTTAAGGATATACTATAATACTATAAGACCTTTCTCATCTATAGAACTTGCATGCGCCGTGCGCCAGCCAGGCCCGTGCGTGCATGCTTTGTGCGAAGCTGTTGCACTGTTGTTGTCCAAGAACATGACCTGCGCAGGACCCCGGTGCAATGCAACTCCAAGCGAACACTTTCTTCACACTTCACACTGCACTCTTCACACCCCACACTCCACACTTCACACTTGCACTTCATCTCAACTCATCTCATCCGAGCTCTTCTCATCTCATTTCATGTCTTCCAATATGTCAGCTAAGTTCTTCTTGACTATTTTTATTTCATCTGAGAACAGCTCAACCTTTCTCATCTCACCGAAACTAGTCTCAACTTATCTCGGCTCTTCTGCACGTCAGAGTACTATTTCGTACTACAAAGCTTGCGCAGAGTACTTCCCAGTACTACTTTGTACTACACAGCTTGCTTAAAGTACTTCCCAGTTCTACTTTGCACTACAAAGCTTGCACAAAGCACGTCGCAGTACTACTTTGTACTACGAAGCTTGCACAAAGCACTTCCCAGTATTACTTTGTACTGCAAAGCTTGCACCCAGTACTACTTTATACTACAAAGCTTGCACAAAGTCCTTCCCAAGACCACTTTGTATTACAAAGCTTGCACAAAGTCCTTCCCAATACCACTTTATACTACAAAACTTACACAAAGCACTTCCCAATAGTACTTTGTACTACAAAGCTTGCACAAAGCACGTTCCAGTTTCATTTTGTACTACGAAACTTGCACAAAGCACGTTCCAGTTTTACTTTGTATTACAAAGCTTGCACCCAATACTACTTTGTAGTGCAAGGCTTGCATAAAGCACTTCATTTTTTTTTTGGTACCACAAAGCTTGCACGAAGCACTTCCCAGTATTATTTTGTACTACGAAGCTTGCGCAAATACGTCCTAGTACTACTTTGTACCATAAATCTTGCTTAAAAATGCTTAAAATACGTCCCAATACTACTTTGTACTACAAAGCTTGCACAAAGAAAGCTTTTACACATAGCAATTTTTTTCGCAGAGAAGCTTTTACACACAGCAAACTTTTTAAGCAGAGAAGTTTTTACACACAGCAAGCTTTCATACACAACAAGCGTTTACACACAGAACACTTACACACAATGTTTTTATACATGTCAAGCGTTTGCACACACAACATTTTTTACACAGAGACGCTTTTACACACAGAGAAACTTTTACACATAACAAATTTTTACACCTAGAATCTTTTACATATAACAGGCTTTCACACACAACACATATCTATACATAAAACATTTATACACAGTACTTTTACACATGGCAAACATTTCCTCTTATAACATTTTTTTAAACAAAGAAACTTTTACACACAGAGAAGGTTTTGTACACAACAAACTTTTACACACAAAATCTTTCACACACAGGAAAAAAAAATCCAGAAAAAAAATACACAGAGAAATTTTCACAACAGGAATTACAGCTCCAAAACCGGATCTCGACGCCAAAGCGAAAAAAACGCAATTTTGAAAAAAAAAATAAAAGGACTTTACAATGAAAATTACTAGCGCCAAAATTGCGAAAATTTGCTGATAAATTACTTTCGCACCCTTGATACAGCCACTCCAATACGATTTACGAAATCCAGCTACACAAAATAATAGTATTACGCATGCAGCCGCGGCACCAAGCAACCTTGATCCAATCACTACAATACGATTTGCAGAGGTTGAGTTGCAAAAAATAATAAAATTACTGGAGCGGTGTCGGAAATTGGACCTCCAAAACCGGATCTCGACGCCAAAGCAGAAAAAAAACGAGTTTGAAACATTTTTTAAATTAATTTTTAAAAAGAAAATTATTAGTACCAAAATTACGAAAATTTATTGATAAATCAGCTGCAACATTCATGTAACTATTACAATGCATTTCGCAACATCATGTGGCTAACCTGCATCTCTCTACATACATGATAACAAAGCATGACCACAGTCATGCAGCCATTCCAATGCGATCTGCAAGCAGAGATTCAAGAAAAAAATATATATAGAACTACGTACACAAGAATAACAACTCGTTCCAGAACACAGAGGGGGAACTAATTCATATGAAACGACCGCAGCCGTACCCATCGCACATACGAGGTACCTTTCATCGCCAGTTGCAGCCATTTTACACGGAAAAATACAAGGTTTTGTGCTCCGGCTTCTTCCCCAAAACAAAATCCATGCAATATTATGTAGCCATTACAATATGTTTCGCAGTACTATGTCACAAATCTGTACGGATCTATATACATGGCAATAAAATATGACAACAATTATGCAGTTATTCCATTGCGATCTGTAACCAGAGATATCCAGAGATTCAAGAAATAAATAGAACTACACACACAGGAACAACCACTCGTTGCAGAATACAGAGGAGGAACTAATTCGCGCATGAAACTACCGTAACCACACCTGTCGCATACACGAGGTACCTTTCATCGCCGGTTGCAGCCACTTTACACAGAAAAATATAAGGTTTCGTGACGTGCTCCGGCTTCCTTCCCAAAACAAACTCCATATATCATTCATGTAATCATTACAATGCATTTCATAGCATTACGTGGCTAACCCACATCTCTCTACGCACATGGCAACAGAACATGACAACAATCATGCAGCCATTCTGCAACCAGAGATGCAAGAAATACATAGAATTACGCACACAGGAACAACCACTCGTTGTAGAATACAGAAGAGGAACTAGTTCGCGCATGAAACGACCGCAGCCGCACCCGTCGCACACGCGAGGTACCTTTTATCGCCGGTTGCAGCCACTTTATACGGAAAAAGACAAGGTTTCGTATGTCTGCTTCCTCCCCAATATAAATCCCATATAACATTTACGTAGTCATTAATTACAATATACTTCGTAACATTCCCTTCATCAACATTTCCCTTGGTCACCACTTCCCTTCGTTATTACTTCCCTTCGTTACCCCTTCCCTTCGTCATCACTTCCCTTCGTTACCATTTCCCTTAGCTACCACTTCCCTTCATCACCATTTCCCTTCGTCATCATATCCCTTAATTATCCCTTCGTTACCACTTCCCTTCGTCCCCATTTTCCTTCGTCACCACTTCCCAAAATCACCACTTCCCTTCGTCACCACTTCCCTTCGTCACCACTTCCCTTCGTCATCAATTCCCTTCGTCAGTATTTCCCTTCCTTACGATTTCCTTCGTCACCACTTCCCATAATTACCACTTCCCATAATTACCATTTCCCTTCACTATCATTTCCCGCCCTCGCCACTTCCATTTATTTCCTTTTATTCTTTTGTGATATTTTGTTGTAGAGAACTACCATTCTTATCCCGAAAATATTTCAATTGTTGGTAATTATACTATACGTGGAGCGCTCTGGAGCTGGCATGCTGTTGACGCTATGCGTACTGCTGTCAGAGTGGTGGGCGCGCTTTGGAGCGGGCATCGTGGTGCCGTTGGGGTGCACTGCAAGGTGCTGGTGCAGGGTATTGCTTGCTGTCAGAGTGGTGCGTACAATTTGGAGCGATGCTGGTGGCGCTTAGGGTGCTGCTGCAGGTGCTGCCTGAGGGTGATATTTGAAGGTACTGCTGTCAAAGTGGTGTGTGTTTTAAACCCTGCTTTGGAGCCGGCATGTTGCTGAGCGGATGCGGGTGGAAGGTGCTGCTTGAGGGTGCTGTCGAGCTAGCCTGCTGGTGCTGCTGCAAGGGGTGATGCTTCACGGTGCTGCAAGGAGGATACATACTGTACCCAATTCGTGCTACAAGGGTGCTAGTGAAGGATAGTGAAGGGTGCTGCTGCACGCTGCATTGTGCAGCTGTTAGAGTGGCGTGTCCGCTCTGGAGCTGGCTGGTGGTGCCGCTGCAGGGTGTTGCTTCAAGGTGCTGCAGTTAAAGTGGTGTGTGCGTTTTGGAATTGGTATGTTGGTACCATTGCAGGATGCCGCTGCAGGGCGTTGTTGTCGGATTTTTCTCAGAAGCAGCAGGAGGCATAGTGTAGCCCGTGACGAATGGTTACAAAGAAATAAATTCTTAAAACACAAATTCTGATCGATTTAGAATTAGGAAATTTGAGGTATGATTCGGGTATAATTCGGGGGTATGATTCGGAAAACCATTTTTTTTGGAATTTAAGAAAATTTATTACTTATTTTTTTTTCCCACCATTAACCTATTACGATTTCTATTCAATGTCCACAATAGCTCGACCTACCAAACAACCTTGAACAGGACCTAAATATAAAGAATACGAAGATTTAAATACACATCTATAACTTATATCCGTCGGCCTGCGGGCGTCTCTTCTGGATATATATATATATTTTCATCTACCTTTAATTTAATTATATTTAGGCTTATATTTCTTTTCGACGGATTTTTTACTAGCCAGTCAGCCAGAGCCAGCTAGCTTAACGATAATACGAGTCCGGGGGGTAACTTGCCCCAAAATCTATGAACTTACCCCACCGCATGGCATACCGCATACCCCACGACCCCAAGAACTT